ATATATATAGGACTTTGTCCTATTCACTTAAAGAAAATAAAAACACTTTAAAATGATTTTCTTCTTATAAGTGTGAAAATAAAATCAAAGACAAAGAAAAAAACAATAGAAAAGTTTTTTTTTCACCAGGGTTACCTCTACAGGACAAACACAGTGATATTAGAGAAGTGAAATCAAGTTTAAATGTTTTACAGAAAATGTGCAATAATTTCAACAAATTTAGGCAGGTGCATAAATTTGGGCACCGTTTTCATTTTATTGATTTCAAAACCTTTAGAACTAATTATTGGAACTCAAATTTAGTTTGGTAAGTTTAGCGACCCTTGGCCTCCATACACAGGTGACTCCAATTATGAGAAACGGTATTTAAGGAGGGCAATAGTAAGTTTTTCTCCTCTTTGCATCTTCTCTGAAGAGTGGCAGCATGGGAGTTTGAAAACAACTTTCAAATGACCTGAAAACAAAGATTGTTCAGCGTCATAGTTTAGGGGAAGGATTACAGAAAGCTATCTCAGAGATTTCATCTTTCAGTCTCCACTGTGAGAAACATTGTAAGAAAATGGAAGACCACAGGCACAGTTCAAGTGCAGGCTCCAAGTGGCAGACAAAGAAAAATCTGGAATAAACAGAAGCGAAAGATGTTAACAGTCAGAGTCAACCCACAGACCAGCACCAAAAACCTACAACCAGTAGCGTGCACAGACATTTTCGGGGGCAGGTGCTCAAATGGAAAAAGAGGGCACCTTGTCCGGCGTACGGAATCAGCAGCTGTCCTAATAATGTGACATTACAGACACACCTTGTACATTGTGCATTTTTATCTATTTTAAATCAGATATTGTCTGTCTGTTGCAGATGTTTAATATTCAACACTCTACAGGTTGGTTTCTGTAACAAACTGGCAACAACAGAACAAAAACTAGTAATGACAATTTTTGTAGTGTTTAAAAAATAACTATAATCAAGTTTATTTTCACAAAATTACTAATGGCTTTTTTGTTCTTTGGAGGATCTTCCTTCAATCTCTCCATCTCTCCACAAAATCTACTAAGGCCTTCATGCAGAGGAACAAGTAGAACGTTCTGGAATGGCCATCTCAGTCCCCAGACCTGAATATTATTGAAAATCTGTGGTGTCACTTAAAGAGAGCTGTCCATGCTCAGAAACCATCAAACCTGAATGAACTAGAGATGTTTTGTAATGAAGAATGGTCTAAAATACCTTCAGTCCAGTCCTTACTCACTCATATCAGTCTACCTGCAATGTGGCCTTGGTCCGTCGATCTCCTAGTGGTCACTGTGACAACGGCAACTGTTAACGCTGGATTTATTGAAACTAGACAGAAATACGTGGTCCAAGAATGAAGGTATTCCGTGAGATGATCAGCTGAGTTTTATTGCAATAGCAAGAAACACAGATAACAACCTGGCCTGTCTCTGTACCTCTGCTTCTCTCTGTCACTGTCTCTCCACACTACTGTTGAACACTGTGTCTCGAGAGGCCTCATAAATATATTAACAAACACCATTCTGTCATCTTAGCAAGATTTGATACAAGGTCAATGGAAAACACAACAAAGATAAACACAAGTGATATCTAAGAATGACTGTTGTTAGCAAATGTTGTTCTGACTTTAATCATTCTGTCTGCAGATGAGCAGCATGTCATGAAAACCTAGGTCATTAAAGAATGTCATGAATTACTTGCCTAAACATAAAAGTAGTAGTTCTATTACAGCCACAATCCAGACTCTCATTAGAAGCTATAGGAAGTTTTTAGAGGCTGTTACTTCTGTGAAAGGAGGAGCTACTAAATATTGAGGTAATGTTTTTTTGGTGGCCAAATTTATGCACCTGCCTAATTTTGTTTAAACAATTATTGCACACTT